ATATTATATGTGTGCGCGCGGAAAACAGTATATATAAGTTTAATACATAACTTAGAATCTACATTTACTACTTAGAATCCACGGCGTATAAATCTTTCCGCCCTTTATCACAGCCAGTCTCCAGCATCATTTGGTTGGCTTTGGCTTATCACAAGGAGCAATTTCTGTGAAAGAGAGAACTCACATCCCCAACTGAAAGGAGAAAAATGTAGCATCTTTTTTCCTCATATCCTCCCATGTCTCTAATATTTCTTGTGCTGAAGGCACCTTGGTTTCACAAGATTTGTCATCTTCATCACTAGATATCCCGAGTCCTAACTGATCTATATCATCCAGGTATTCAAATTGGTCATCAAATGTTAGTAGTTCATCAGAAAGCTCAGAGATTGTGCTGGTCCCAGCCCTCTCATCTTCTCTTTGACTTAAGTGTGACATATCCGAAATTAACTCCCTATTGACACCTTTTTCTCTGGCATCAGAGGAATGGACATAGGCTTCATCACTACAGTCACCTTCATCAGCATGAACATACTGAAGGTTAAATTCATCTATATTAGCAGGAGCATTGCATGTATATAAACTTCTATCCTTATCAGCTGTCGTAGCACAGGCATCTGTTGCAAATTTAACAGATTCATCGATTGAAAGCACTCTTGATGTGTAAGATCCACAAAGAGATTCCAAGGCACTACACAAGTTTACAATGGACGAGTCTGATACCAAGGCTTGACTGCATAGCACATCAAATAATCCTCTCAAACTAGAATGGCTAAATCTTTCACCATTGTTGTTAAATAGGTCAATCCACTGTTGTTCACTGACTCGAAATGGAGCATGAACCATTGATTTAATTAGAGCAACAGCTCTATCATAATCATGTTGACTGGTGGCTTGACACAGAATCTCAAAGAAGAAAGATGCATGAGGTATTTGACCAACTTCCAGTATTGCATCAAAGGCATGCTCTAGCAAATGCACCTGCATCATGAACGAAGAAGCTTATAAAAGGAAATGAATAATACAAAACAACCGGGGCTGATTTTTAACCCAGTTCCAACAAGAAACTGATTTTTGATATAACTCCAATAACAGAGGCTCATCTGGAACATAACCAACTCATGAAAAGTAACTAAATCCACAACTATTAAAGCATTTCATCATTATTTCCGCTCAACCTTTTATCTTCTGTTATAGCTCAATTGCAGGTAAATAGTTGAAATAAGTTGAATCAACCTATAGGCCTACGCATTTTGACCAGGTAGATCTCATTGGCTAGATTTTTTTTATCTGGAAGGAGGGTGCTAGTCTACTATTTGGTGTTAAAAAAATATCAAAAGCAAGCCCTGAGAAATAAACCAGTCTTTCAAATTTTACCTTCCCAGCTTTTGATGCTTCCACCAGGAGGTGCGCGTGTCTACTTTGATCAAGCTGATACCCAGCTAAGGCCATCTCCTTGTACACACACTCAAAGTATTCCCAGTGGAGAGAGCAAGCAGAGGCCTCAAGCATTGAGGTGTACGTATATGCATCTGGGCTATGGGAAGAACTAAAGTTACCCTGGCAAAGTTGAGGACCAGGATTCTCTGTCTTAGCCCACTCAAACAATTCCTTAGCCTTAAAGAACATATCATTCTTGCCATAAACCTTCAACATGGCATTTATGATTCCTATGTCAAGTTCGCAGTGCTTTTTACTGTGCTCAAATATACATATACAACCATCAACGTATCCACCATCCATGGATGACAAAATCATGCCAGTAAAGGTAACCGCCAAAGGTCTTGTGTGATGTAGCATTTTCAGCTTCTCAATCTGTGGTAATAATTGAATGACTGAAATTGACTTTGTGCATCAAAAGATTAGCAGAAGAACCACGCAGACACATTTACACAAAGAGGAGAGCCTCTCGGCCAGCAGCAGATAATTTTGCATGTTATGCCACCTTTTCAATGAGATTGAGAGAGCATAAACTGACACACAGCAGAAGATGCATACTTGAAGGCAACAAAATTTTGAGTCATGTAATGACTAAAGATCAAAGGTTAAAAAGATAAAATGAAAGGAACATATGCATGTGTGCACAATGAATTACTGTAAAAGTACTATAACCAACTTTTCCTTTTAAAAAAAAGCATATCATGACACCACTCTTAGCTCCAAAGGCGAGAGCCGAAAATACCCAAATTCCTCAATCAATGGGCTTGAAGAAATACCAAGAATCAAGCTTAAGAGAGGATGCATGAAATTGCTAAAATGAACCTGTTGATGGATTTCAATCAGAATCCAACATCTCCCAGAATAAGTATTGTCTAAGTCCTCGACAAATTTGCCTTATTTTAAATGACAATCTTTATAATTAACGCCTGACAGTGCAAAATTTGTGTCCTCCAAAAATATAAAGAAGTGCTAAAACTGAAATTACATTTCAGAAAAACTATCTAATCCATTAGTCCTGCTGTACATTAAGTGATAGTACTGACGAGGGAACTTCTTTATGCAGTACGCAACACAGGAACTGACTTCTGAGAAAGTCTAAATAATGATTTATATAACTTAAGCTTCACTAACATAAGAAGTCTCTATAAAAACCATTAAAAGGAAAACAGATAAAGTGAAAAGGGTATGGATACCTCCAAGAATGCTTCTTCCCACATCCCATGGTAGCAAAGGCAGCAAGCCAGCTCATAATACACTGAGGCATTTCCAACAACTCCTCTTTGTTCCATTTCCCTCACCGCTTGAATGGCTTCATTGACTCTCCCCTCTCCCCAGAAAGCTTTTACAAGAACTAAAGGAATGCCGCAATATATTTCTTAGTTAAAAAGATTTGAGTGCTCCTTTTTGTGTTATCTTCTTTTTCTTTTTATTGGGAGGTTTGGGGTGGGGTGGGGGGAACTCGACAGTGGAAAGAAAACCATCTTACCTTTATAACTAAGAGCTTTTAGGGCTTCCCCACTTCTCTTCATCTTTCCAAAAAACTCATGGACAAGGTCAAAT